TAGACAGAAAAAAGCTGACCTTCCTTACATCAGTTATCATACTTCCCTCAGCTCCGACATACATATAATAAGAATAAAGTTCAAAAAATTAAATGAATTATTTAAAGCAGCTCATATAAAACTATAAAAAGAGGAAATATAATTATACCATGATTTAGCAAGTAGTCAACACTGACTTTCCTAATAACTATTTCTGTCTAGGCTTCTTAGGAGACTCCTCTTTAGCACTGAACAGTGTAGAGCACTTCCTTTATGAACTACTGTGCTTTTGACTTCTGTGACAGAACCCTTTCCTGGTTATTGTCCTTTGACCACTGATTTCCTTGCAGACCCCATTACACATCCTACCCCATTTTAAAAAGGGATATACCCAAAATCCTGTCTCTGACATTCAGCTCTGCTCACTCTACAAGCTGACATTCAGTAGGCCCATTCACTACCACAGCTTCATTGCCAACTCCATGCTGAAGACCTGATGCCTCCAGCCTAGTGTTTTAACCAAGCTCTTGTCTTTAACAGCCACCTACCTGCCCACTGGATATGACAGTAGCAAAACCTAAATGCCTGTGGGGCAACCAGGTATCATACTTATTTTTTAAGAAATAGGTGTATACTTTTTAACATGTACCTGGCATGTAATATGCAAATGTCATGTCATTTAATACTTGTAACAAGCCTAAGAAGTAGAAGTAGGTATACTATTATGCCTAGTTCACAGATTATGGAAATGGCTCAACCTAACTGAGCTAGCAAGAGCCAAGATGTGACTGGAGAGATTCTGGTTCCATAAAAATCAATACAATATTCATTCTCATTCACTTTCCCTCTCTCTCTCTCCTTCTGTCTCTCTCTCTCTCTCTCTCTCTGAGAGCTGGCAAACACCTCCTTCATCTAAAGGTATTTGAATTCTCTGCAGTTCCATGTTCTCCACTTTTTATTTTATGGCTCCTGAGCACTCTCCTACATCTTCCACAGGTTCTGCTCATTCCCTACCACAGGCTCAGTTCAACCCCAAGTCATCCACTGCCACTACTTTGCCTCTTCCTAGTCCATGCTCTTCAAAAGTAAACCTTTTTCTGTAAATAACCAGTCAGTGTTTCAGACTTTCTACACCATATGGTTTCTATCATAATCATTTAACTGTTACTGTAGCATGGTAACAGCACAGACAAATGGGCGTGGCTGTTTCAATAAACCTGTATTTACAAAAGGAGGTGATCCTTGCCCAATAGCACTACATAGAAGTATTCTTAATCCTACTCCTTCCAGAATATATTCCAAAATATATTCCAGATAGTCCCCCATCCTTAAAAAACACAAAAACAGAAAACATGAATAAAAGTTTTTGTAAACATACAGTGATAAAAGCCTCTAAAAATGAAAAAAAAATTGAATATATCAAAATTAAAAATCTCAGTGGGCAAAGCAAAATAAACCAACAAAATATCACAAATAGGGGGCTGGGGATTTAGCTCAGCGGTACAGCCTGCCTGGCATGCACAAGGTCATGAGTTCGATTCCTGGTACCAGAACCCCCCCCCCAAAAAAAATCACAAATAAAGTAAAAATTAAAAAGACAAGATATGAAAAAAATACTCGAAACAAATGTGATACATGAAATGCTAATTTTCTTTATTTTCCTGCCGTTACTTGGAAACTAACCTTTCAGTGCCTCCCAAGTGTCAGTCATGCTGGTGGGTGTTTGTAATACATGATTTAATTATTAAAAATTATTAAGATGTGATTAAGAATATAAGTAACAAGTAACAGAAGAAAAAATACACATGATTAAAATAAGAGAAAAAGATGCTAATCTTACCAAAACTTAACCAATAAAAATATGCATAAAATGTTTTCAGAGAAAAAACTGCCAAATGCAAGGAGCACAGTATAAAGATGGAATGAGATTCTCATATGCTACTGGAGAGAGTATATTATACTATCTTTTCCAGGAATAAACTGGTTGACCGATCAAAAACTAAAATGTTTAAAGTCAGCCATAACATTCTTAAATACTTATCTTACAGATAAACTTAAGTATGCATATAAAGACTTATGCATATAAAATAATTAGTTTTGATAACATAACATTGAAAGCACCCTAAATATTTACCTACAGAGGAATAGTTATTTACCTCTATAATGGGATAGTATGCAGTGAGGAAAATACTGTCAGTGGAAGTTATACTTTTATAGGAAAATGGCTAGTTCTATAACACACACATTATAATGTTTTCCATACGTATACTGTATATACTGTACTATATATACTATCCCGTATATAGTATTTAGTATTGTTTACTATACATATGTAATACTACTATACATGTAGTACTACTACATAGTATATAGTATACTCCTGTACTATATGTGTACACTATGGTATAGCCCTGTTTCTGTTAAAGAAAACAACTATATCTACAAGTGCATACATATACAGAAAAAGGCTACATTTCAAGGAGAAGTCTGATGGAAATGGTACTTCTCCACTTTAAGATGCACCCTTCTGTACTATCTGAGTACTTTTTTTATAGTAAGCTTATATCAACTGTAATTAATACAACTAAATGATAAGTAAGACAAATCACAAAATGATCATATGCCTTCTAAGAACCTTCTAGGAGTTTTAACCACTGCAGTATGGGAGCTGAACTCTTCATGCTATGCGTACCCATGTGATGACATGACCCCTATGCCATCCCTCAGTCTCAGTTGACCAATGTCACTCGGGCACCTCTCCTGTATCACTCTCAGGTCATGCTGTGCCACTCACAGTCACTCTTCAGGTTTTCAAACTTGCTAGGACGTATAAAGCTTCTTTGCCTTTGCAAAGGTTTCTTCTCCTTACAATTCTTTCCTTGTCTTCCCTACCTAGTAAATACTTACCTCAGCCTCCTGCGTAGGCAGACATAATCTTAAGGGAATCAACACACATTAAACAGACAATCAAGTGTTTACCCACAATTATTTGGAAATTAACCTTTCAGTGCCTCCTGTGTATCACGCATGCTGTTGGGTGCTTTTAACACATCATGTAATTTTAACTGACTTATTATTCCTACTTTATAGTATAAAAATTATCTTAATAAGGTTAAAGAACTGCACAATATATCCCTGGCTAGGAAATGTTATGGACAGGATGTGCAATTGATTACAGCAATGGTTGGCTTACTACACAGGCCCTGACAGGACTTGACTGATAAAACAGGCAGACCAATCTCCCTTGTAGGCAGGGAGAACACGTATGGTGGGGTGGAAGGAACAGACTCAGTCACAGGCTGGAGGAAAGAGAAAAAGTGTGTTTGTGGCGCAGAGTATGATCATTCTAGACTACAAGTTTTTGTTCAACTGGGCAAGTTGAGGCAGGACGCAATAGTAAGAAATGGTAGACTCTCCCGCAGGTTAGGAAAACTGAAAGGAATATTTTGGGAATGTTAGTATGGCAGCTCTGCCCAACATGAACTGCAGTGGGGGTAGAGTGAAGAACAAAAGACAATTAGAAGAAGCTGGGAAAACCAACGGCCTCGTGTTTTGGTCCAGAATTAGGATGGCAGCTTCACAAATGGGGATGAGAAAGCAAACATCTCAGGCATTATTAAAGATTCTCTTGATAACATTACCACATTTGACTAGAGATAAAGGGGAGAATGGAGAACAAAGAGCTAAGACTGATCCTAAGGTTTCTCATCTGAGCAGGGTGAAGTGTGCTGGTACCGCTGACAGAAATGGAACGATAAGAAAGGAAACTACTGTGTAGATCAGACATGCTAAATGATGGTGCATACAAATATCCTGCTGCAGACAATGCCCACTTCCAATGCCTATGGGTTGGGAGCCCTCATTTCTTGGGTGACATCCTTAGGATCATAAATTATGTTCAGGCATTCTTAACATGTCAACAATATGACACTCAGACCACTTGTAAGAATTACAAAAGATTAACTTCTTTAGAAACATGATTTTTTGCTTAGTTAGCAAGCATGAAGACAGAGTACCACGTAAAATCAGCCTCATTATTTTAGAGTAACATTATGTGAATCTAAGATCTTTCAGCTCCTTTATGAAATCTCCTATATCTATTTATCTCCCAACAAACGATTTTCTTTCAGTGAAGTTGGTCACTTACAAAAGAATTTGTCTAACTTACTCCCGTTCACACTAGTTTTTCAGGCTCCACTCTATAAAGCCAAACAAAACCATTCTTTCCCAGATCTTTCTCTACTCTCAAAGACTCCCTGTCTTATTTATTGGACTCTACAACATTAGCTCCCACTTTCTGTCCTCAAATGGTATTCAGTTAGCTTTACCACTTATAGTGTACCTCTTTATTCTCATCCAAGAACATAAGAAAGTAGGTGTTCTTTAGTATGCAGATGATCTAGAACACACACAGCATTAGCATGGAATAAAGTATTCCTAAGTTCTGCTATGAGATAATAAAGCTTTACATGAATCACAGGTTGGCTGTCACATCTAGATGGCATAATTATGGATTAGTAGCCAAGTGTATACAATAAAACTTAGTATAGTGTACTAGAACTTGAAAAAACCCTCTGGTTCCTAACTTCCTTTCAGTAAAGCACTCTGTATTCCTGCATACATGGCACAATCCCACAGGTCCTACAAAAAGCAGAACACAGCAGTGGCCCGGAGCCCAGTGGCTATTGTGAGTTCACATCATCAGTTCAATTCTCCTTGTTCTACATTTTTAAAATACAATAGGTATAAAAATACTACAGACAGGATAATTCTTTCTTAGGATAAACATTCTACTTTAGTTGCAAATAAAAGTAGGGTTAACTGTAGTACACTTATACCATTTACAATTCTGGGTAAAGTGCATTCAGAAAATGTTATTTTGAATTTTAAATAGAAAAGACAAAAAAATACTGAAAGGATCTACAATTTCAAATTATTCTTTTGGAGGCAGTAAATAAAATTTCCTTTGTTTAAGTAAAAACAAGTCACAAGTAAGTACTTATATCAAAAACACAAAGTACCTGTGAGTTTGATTTTGGATAGTCGAGCCAAGATGCCAGGCAAGTCATCAAGGTGCAGCTTCATCTCTTTCCATTGCTTTTCCTCTTTTGCCTCTTTGCCCACATCTACTGAGCTTTCAATTACAGAGGCAGACTCTACTTCTATCAATTCCTTTTCACTTGGCTTTCTGGACAAAGACAGGCTTGGGGATGAAAGAGATTTCATCTCATCTATTTCTGCTTTGGCTTCACCTGAAGACATTTTTTCAAAGAAAGGCGATGCTACTGGTTCTGGCTTTGGTTTTACTTGCTGGTTCAGGATCCTATTCACTTGTGTGACATACTAGAAAACAACAACAAAATGAAACACATTACTATAAAATTTCAAACCAGGTGTACTGGCACACGTGGATAATCCCAGCACTCAGGAAGCTGAGGCAGGAGGAATGCCATGAGTTTGAGGCCAATGGGCTACATAGTGAGTTCAAGGTCAGCCTGAATTATAAAGAGAGATTCTATCTCAAATACAAACAAACAAAAAGGCCTAAAATGCTCTTCAAAGGTTGTTTTAAAGACATCTTTACAAAAAAAAAAAAGGTCAGGGATATAGCTCAGCGGCACAAGCACCTGCCTGGCAAGTGCAAGGTCCTGAGTTCTATTCCCAGTACCAAAAAAAAAAAAAAAAAAAAAAGAGACATCTTTGATCACTCTGTCTTTTACAGTACTTGAAAACACCTCCTATAACTTTACTGTTAATTCAGCATGTACTTATTGAGCATCCATGACATGGAAATCACCCTACTGAGTGAGATATGGAGAAAAAAATTAATACCACAGCAACAGTTTCAAATTCTGTGGTTTAGAAAATCCCCAAACTCTTAGTCTCTTGAAAGCAAAATACATCTATTTTTAATTTTATTCATTATCCTGGAGGCTTAACATTCCAAACACAATTAAAAAATTTTCTGAAGTCAAAAACCAAGGTCATAGATTTTCCATGTTCTTAGGCACAGTGCTGACAGGGGCTCAGTGGTAATCCCAGGCTTAATGACATCACAGCAGTGTGGTATGAGGAAAGCACATGTTTTAGTCAGACAGTCCCTATCACTTCCATTAAAAACTAGTAATGACTACTAAGACTTGTGAGGCACTTTATGTCACATCTCATTCTATTTCTCAAAAGCTATGAAAGAAGATGGATTATCTCTCTTTTAAATTTCTAGAGGAGGGGCTGGGGAGTTAGCTCAGCGGCACAGAGCATGCCTGGCAAGAGCAAGATCGTGAGTTCAATTCCCAGTACTGGAAAAAAAAATAAAAACAAACAAACAAACAAACAAATAAATTTCTAGATGAGGGAACCAAGCCCCTGAAACTGACAAAAGCAAGAATTAATAATCAGTTATAGGTGGCCCTGGGAAGAGAAGCCATCTATGCTGCGAACTAATTAAGTACATCACAAAGGCTTGAAACTAAAATTCTAGTCTTAGACAAAATCTACAAGTTGATCAATGAATTCATGGTTATATTTACATAAAAAGGCATTAAATATCTTCAACTTTTTCCAAATATCCAAATATCCTTGATTTCCCAACTTCAAAAGTAGGAACATTTCTAGAAACTCTTATCTCTGGTCAATATATCTAGTTTTAGTACGGTTGTAAGTTAAATTTACATTTTAATAATAAGTACGTTGTTAAAAGATTTTTAAATACACTGCTGATTTAACAAAATAGTCACACTGTTAAAACAATTATTTCTATATTTCTGACATATTTACAGAACTTCAAAGAACTTTAAAAGATGTATCACAATTTTCAGCTTTTCCTAATTTTAGCTGAGTTGGAACATGCCAGAAGTTTTCAATCTTTCTCCTAACTTAAATCAATAAGTTCAAGATCATCCTTTTAACCTCAAATGCCAGAATTATTCTGGTTTGTGTTAAGAGTAATCAAAACAAGAGATTAAAGCTTTGGATAAACTTAGGGCACTAAATAAGTCTTTTTCAAATAGTACTTCTAAAATTGTTCTTATAGGCATTCTGAAATTCCCTCATACAGAGAAAAGTATAGACAGGAAGCAACAGAGTAAATATGGTCTTTAAAACATACCATGCGTTTGAGGAAGTTAAAGTGCTGAAATGTAATCCACTGTTTATTGACATTCCTGAAAAGGTGCATAAACTTATGAGGGGATTCCAGTATAGCTCTTCTTTCTAAATACCAGACACATCCTCCTACCCAACCTGAAACAGAGAGAGAAGGAAGAAATGTTACAATGATTAATGCTTCTCACCAAATGATGATTATACCTATCCAGAAGCAAAGTTAGTTAAGTGTTGTACTATGTGACAGATCAGAAATGCAGATGCATGAATAAATGCAATTTATCAGACCTACTCATTGTTTAAATCAGTACAATTCCTTAGGAGGGCTCAGAAATTTTTCACTTCTGGATCATTACACTTTTACTATACTAAATGCTGAAATCACTAAACTCTAGATGTTTTTAAGAAGCAAACACAAAACAATCAGTTGTTACTTTTTAAGAACTAGAAAATGAAAAGCACATTTTGTCAACAAATGACAGTAAAATGAAATATATATACCTCAGATTAATAGTCTGTTCAAGTAGGCTAAGACAACTAAAAGGAAAAGGAAATAGTTTCCAATGAAATATGATTCTTATCAGTTAAGAAAAAACTGTTTTTGTTGTATCCAAATTTGGCTTTTAATCATTCTTCTACATCTTCTCTCAGATCAACAAATTGAATACTCTGCCTCAGACCTCATCCAAGTCAAGTCTTTGACAGTCTGTATAACCGTACAATTCTGCCCTTTTTAAAAGTCCCTCCTCCCATGGTTTCTATGATATAACAGGTTCTTTTGGTTCTCTGCTTTCTGCTTTCAGATTCCTATAGGGTCTCCTCTTTCTGTGTCTGTCACTTTAAGGCAATTGGCTTCCCACTGTTCTGAACCATAAATACTATCCCTGAGCAAATGGGTAATTGTTAATCTTCATTTCATTTCTAGAGAGACATTATGGGCCCTATATCCAACTGCTCTTGGTATTTCCAAGTGGACAGAAAGCAATACATTTTTAAGAACACTATCTCACCTTTTATCTGTTCTCTATTGCAAGGGAAAAAATATTACTTATTTAAGACTTCAGGATCATGGTTCCTCTCCCTTTAGCATCGAACAATGATCAAATACTGTAGAGTGAACTCCAAAATACAGGTTAACATTTTCTACTCCATTTCATTCCCACTGATACAGATCCCTATGGTCTTATATTTGGACTGTAGTAACAGTAGTAGGAGTTAAGCCAGTCATCCTGTCTCCACTAATTTCTTTCCCACTCCAATCCACATTCTACAAAGCCAACAGTTTTCTTCCTAAAAACCAGAATATATGCATATTACTCAACCAAACCTATACACACAATTCAGCAAAGCAATCTTGCCTCATGCCATTCCACTAAACATATTAAACAGCTTACAACTTGTTTAACTTTATGTTGTTTCTTAGCTTGACTCTGCCTGTGAAATTTTCAAAGTTTCCTTCAAGTATTCACTTTATATTATGTTTTATGGCATTTCTTAGTGCAAATTATTTCCAATATCATTTTTTAACACAATGGCAGGGGCTCTACTAATCTTTACTAGCAAAGTATTTTCCATGTAATAATGAAATAATGTTTCATGACTTGATGGTTCATATAGTCTTCCTGGGCTATGGGAAAGAGAACTATCACCACCTCTTAAAATACATGGCAATTATCTTACACTGCAGATAAGTCACTTCACTGAAATCATATTTTCCATACATATATGAATATGTGTTTGCCTTGGAATCACCTTCAAAAATACCTTTCAAGATTAAGTGGGCTAAACTGAAATTTTTACAGAATATCAGTAATTAGAAAAAACAGCTAGAAATCTATACTTACAAACTGTGAAAACCCTTCCTTTAATATAACATAAATCAGTGCCTAGAAAAAGAAATCTATTTCAGCACAAGATAAGCAAGTGTTAAATTTTAAAATACAGTGCACAGGGTTTTCAACAGATAACATTAAAAATCTGGAAATAAGCTAGGTGTGCCTATGCATGCCTGTAATTCCAGGACTCTAGGGGCGTCAAGCCTAATCTAAACAACTTGGTGACTTAATGAGACTAAAATATTAAAAAACAAAAAACAAAAACAAATAAAAAGGGCTGGGGATATAGCTGAGGGTGAAGGCACAAGGTTCAATCGCACTATTACCAACAAGAAAAAAGAATCTGAAAGTTTTACTGTAACTACTATTCGCCATCAACACTGGATCATGTTTTAGGGCTTCTAAAATCAGATAAGAAGACCAGAGATGAAAGCTTCTGAAACTTAATGACTATAAAATATTCCAAACTTTAATAAGCAAAATTATACATATCTAATGCATTACTAGATATCTAGCACAGTCATAGTTTAACTTATTTACCACCTCTCCCTATCAAGTTCTTTGTGGATCTTTCAAATGCATCATAGAAGGTCACAGACAACTTACTAGTAGATTTGTTGGTGTTATGTTCAGTTTTACAAAACAAGCTATTAATTCCTTCTGTACAACTAATACAAAGGCATTCAGCAACTAAGTATGCAGACCATGTACAGCTCATCTACTAGAACTGGGAGATTTTGAGGAGTTAAGTAGAATTATGTCTACTATAGGAAGCTGAAAATATGAAGTGGAAAAGTAGAAAAACACCTAGTCTTAGGGATTTACATTGGAGAAGCCTCCAAACACGGGGGGCAATTCAAGCACTAGGAAATAATGAGCCTTCTCATAGTGCCCAGGGTCAGGGTCAAACGACATTCACAATAAGGGATAGCGAAAGGTCAAAAATATGGTTCAAACAGCATCATACTAATTTTCAAAAATACTTTTCATTATGAAAAATTGCAGTAATACATAAAGGCAGAATAATATAATGATTCCCCCAACCCCATTACTTATCCTCCAGCTTCAACAGTTAACAAGCCTTGGCCACCTGTTTCATCTATTATACTCTTCTCCTCTCTACCCCACTTTATGAACCAGAAGGGACCTTTGAGAGCATGAAGTTTAATTGTGTCATTTTTACAGACACCTAAACTGAATCCTAGAAGTCACCTGATTTGCCCTGAGGTCACAGACTAGAAGAGACCCATAAAATAACACTATGAAAAATAAGGACAAAAGACATACAGTGATCAATATTGCTAGACAATGCAGTAGACTTGTGTGTGGTAGATGAAAACTGAAAAGTTTCTGGACTGTAACCAAAAGTCAGCCCCTGGCTTCTACTATCTGACCTCAAATATAGACCAGTGATAACATATTCCTCACTCCTCAGTCAGTTACCATTCTAAAATACAGGGGCAAAAGCTCAGCCTCCTTTATCAGGCCAAATTTCATTCATTTACAAATGTTTACTGAGAGCCAACAATGTGCACAAGGTATTATTACAAGCATTGGGTGAACCAGAAACAGCTACGGTCCACACCCTTCTACCTTTGGAAAATTTATGCTGTAGCTGAGAAAAACATGGAGAGGGAAAGGGGGGGGGGAGAGAGAGACAGAGACAGAGAGAGAGAGAGAGAGAGAGAGAGAGAGAGAGAGAGAGAGAGAGAGAGAGAGAGAGAGCATGCCAAAAACATGCATATACATTTCAGGAAAAAAAAAATAGTACGTCTTTTCAACAGATGGGTGTTACCCTTGTATGGAGGACCCTAGAGAATGTCTTATATTGCAGAAAACCCACTACACTGCTGGCCTTTGGAGAAGAAACTGAAAATGTATGTCAGCAATCTCAATGACCAAGGTTACCCAAGCCGTACTAAGTATCTGCAAGCTAACGGTCACCACTTTGAGCATCTCTTGTAATTGTAGAGACCAAAAGTAACTTGTATTAATCTCCAGGTTTCTCAATAAATTTAGTATTAAAATATTTGCACAAGTTTTTCTTTTCCTAAGTGTGTATGTACTGCATACATTTCCCCTCTCTCTCTCCCTTTCTCTCTCTTTCTCTCTCTCTCTCTCTCTCTCTCTCTCTATATATATATACATATCAGTCAAAGACTGTTAACCATGAAGAAAAAAAGAAATAGGATGATATGAAAGAAAAAGGGCAGGGCCCTGTTTTAGACAGGGAAATCAGGGTAGCTTTCTCTGAAAAGGTGACATCTGAGAAGAGACCTTCCTAAAAGCCAGGGATGAGTATTCAAACTTCAACATACATTTATCATAGATTCTTCAAATGGGAGGATTATATGAGAATCCGTACTGAAGATAGAAAGTCAGAGGTCTAAGAGGGGATTGTGGGCTGCTGTCTGCAATTGTCATCATTATCATCACGATCCCTGATAGTGGCATAAGGCTCCTGAGTAAGAGCAAAGGGCTTCGCTAGCCGCTAAAAGCCAGTGGCTTGGAACTGTGGCTTTGATAAACCAATAGGCTTGCGGAGACCCGAGGTTCTCGGTCCTCAGCCCAAAGCCCGCACTTCCCAGGGAAGGAAGTGGACATGGTGTGGACCACCGGGGCCACAGTGCAAGACTGGTCCACACTTTCGCGCCTCTTCAGTTTAGAGCACTCAAAAGGTCACCTCCCCACACCGTTGCCCGGCGGACCTCCCCAAGGGCTCTCAAGGTTGCAGCTAGCAGAAACCACGGCCTCGCAAGTCGCAAAAAAGGCAGAATTTTCCAGAGGCTGTGCTCGAGGCGGGTTACGGTACCTGTCAGTAGGCGTGAGGAGAGAGTGTGCGGGAATACGGCCATAACGCGTGAGTCCAGCCGCTCCCTGGGATCCCAGGTCCCCACTCCTCACCGGGTGCTGGGCGCCGCCATGCTGCTCGCCCGCCCCCTGTGGCAGGCGGGACTTCCGGCTCGCCACTTCCGGCTGGAGGGTTGGGGGAAGAAAGTGCGGCTGGACGCTGTCTGAGTCGTGCCGGCTGACTGGGACCGTAGTGAGCCTGGAGCACCTTCAGGGAACGCGAAAAGCGCTGAGTGGAAACGCCCTTCTGAGGAAAAAACGGCGCGGAAGGCAGACCCGCGCTTCCCGGTCCCAGAAGCCGGCACGCATCCTCTGGCGTAATGCAGGGCGATCCGGAGTGACCAGGCGAGGGGCAAGACTTGGCCGCGGTCTTCTCGCTGGCATTTAATGTTACGGTTGGGACCCTTGGCGGTGGCCGAGCGCCGAGAGGTCAGGGTTCTCGTGGCCAGGCCTCTGCCTTCCCGTCTCCTGAGTTCCGCTTAGAACTTTGCTGTATTCACAGTCACAGGGAAGCCTGGAGGAGCTGGGCGGGGGAGTCATCAGAGTACCCCAGGGGAAGAAGTTCGTGTGGCGGTTAAGGGCCGGGGCCCTGGCGTGGGGGCTCCTCTTCTTGTGATCGTGCTTGAAGAAGTTACGTAAGTCCTCTGACCCTCGGTGGGACGTAGGCAGTAGTAGTGCAGTGTATGCTTTGCAAGGGGGTTCGGAGAATAATGTCTCAAATGGGTGGCGAAGCACCTAGCACATACAGGCGCTAAGTGGTTATTACTGATCCTGTGCTTGCTAGAGCGCATCTGGCAGCAGCCCTCCCTTCTGCGATTTCTCACGTTGGGGTTAGTACAAGTACTTGAAAGAAAAGTGTCTTCTTTTGTTAAAAAAGAGAGGGCAGTTTCTGTTTTCAGTGCCGAGGTGATAGCCATTTTGATTTTTTGATTCACTTCAGTTAGCATTACTATGCTGGGGAACCCTGAGAAAAGTAAAATCCTTTTGATTCTGTAGGAGCTACACTATACCTGTGGGAGGAGGAGAGGTTATTTATGGGTGTCAGTGTGATAGTTGTAATGCAGAAAGTGCTGCTGAAAACTAGTAATGTAACATGTCTGTGTAGCTGGATTAAGGAAGGCTTCAGAGGTTTAAACTTACTGCTACTCAGAGGAAGGAACAGTAAAATTTTTCCAATCTACAAGAAAGGCTGAGATTAACTGCAGTGATTAGCTTAGGTCTGTCCTGCTTAGTCACTGTGAACATGGCCAATGGCTCTCCTGAGTCAAATTATGTTTGGGAAGAAGACAGTGGATTTTGGATAACTAAGAGCCTACCACAACTTGTTCAACCCATTGTTTTCCCAGTTTTTGAACACAACCTCTTTTGTAAAATACCCTGAAATGCTAGCCTTGCTAAAACAGAATGCACAATTTTGAGAATTAGGATATATTCTTATTGAAAATTTTTGCTTATTCTTAGGTGAATTAGACTTTCAAGTCTGCAGTTATCTCGCTTAATTAGACCTACCTTTCCTGCACAGGATTCATTAGAAAATGCCATAAATAAGTCTGTCCTTTAGTCATTGTCAGTTAATTGGACTTTAGAGATAGGCCTCTGATATCCACATAGCTCAAATTTTTTCATAGATGTAGAAACTGAGGTCTAGAGAGGTTAAGTGATACACTTTAACTATATAACTTTGACCCCAGACGTACAAGTCAGCATTTTTCCATGTCATTGTATACATCTCTTCAGAAAATCATATTATAAAACTTAAGAGCCTAGTAATACTGTTTCATATCCACTCCGATGCCTAAATCAAAAGGTCGGGCTGGGGATATAGCTCAGTGGCACAAGCGCCTGCCTGGCAAGCACAAGGTCCTGAGTTCGATTCCCGGTACTGAAAAAAAAAAACAACAAAAGGTCAAATAATAACAATTGTTGGTGAGAATATGAAGGGATTGGAACCCTCCTATATTGATGATGGGGATATAAAATAATGTAAGCACTTTGAAAAACAAGTTACCTGTTTCTCAATAAGTTAAACATAAAACAGCTACGTAACCCAGCAGTTCCACCCCGAGGGTTATGTGAGTAATGAAAACATATGTCCATATGCATATAGTATGCAAATATTCATGGCAGCACTGTTTCTAATATCCAAAAGGTAAGCACAACCCAAATGTCCATCACCTGATCAATGTAAACATAAAATGTGGTATATCCATACAGTGGCCTGTTATTTAGCCATAAAATGAAAATAAAGTACTAAGCATGCTACAAAATGGGTGAACCACAAAACATACCAAGTGAAAGAAGCCAGCCACAAAAGACCATATAATGGGTAGCTACCTTTATATGAAATATCCAGAGCAGTCAAATCCATAAAGACAAAGTACATCAGTGATTGCCTAGGGCTGAAAGAGGGAGTAGAGGGGAAAGAAAGAGTGATTGCTGATGGATGTAGAATTTTAATGAAGGGAAGATAATAATATTCCTAAATTGATTGCGGGACTGGTTGTACAACTCTAGCTATAACTAAAAAAAAACCTGAATTATACACTTTAAATAAGTAAATTATAGAGAATGTGAATTATCTCTCCTTAAATCTGTTATTAAATTATAAAACAAACAAAAACCGAAGGATAAATTCAGAAAGAACTGTGTGGAGACCAAAAGTAACAATTCTCCTATTCAACAGACTGCTCATAATCAACCAATACCTGTTCTTCCTTTATAGCGATTAGAAGACATGATTGTCCAGAACAAAGACATTTCTTAGCCTCCCTTACAATGTGGTGTGACTTTGTGACTAATTCTGGACACTGGGACACAATAAAACGTGATATGTTTAGCTTTCCTTAATAGGAAAGAGCATGTCCTTCCATCCTGGCTGTAATGCCGATGAGGTGGCTGGAACTGGAACAACATCTTGGACCATAGGGAGGTCCAGTAGTGTAAAAACAGCTTAATGAAGTCTGGACACCAGCTGCTTGTGGAACTGTCCCATCAGCCCTGGGTTAGAGAAGTTAAACGACTACCTTAATACAGGTTTACTCTATTAAGTCTTTTGTCACTTGCAGTACAACTTAATCTAAACCAGTACACCATTAATATGAATATAGGTTAGTATTAAAATTAAATGAATTAATAGGCCTTGCTCATAGCTTTAGAAAATGGCTTTCAACCAGGTGGGATGGTGCACACCTGTAATCCCAGCACTGAGGGAGGCTAAGCCACAAGTATTGCAGATTCAGTCCCTCCAGGACAACTTAGCCAGACCTTGTCTCCAATCAATCAAATACAAAGAAAACAATTGTACTTGCTTTTTGTTCTTTTTACAGGAATGAGGTCATCAGGACTTTAGGTAGTTGGTCCCAATTTGTTAGACAAAAAAATCTTTGGTGTGGAGAATGGGAATTATTTTACTTCACAGAAACACTGTACTCCTAAAAGACCATCCAAAGTCTGTATCCTTTTTATCACACTAGCTTCTCACTCATAATTTACTCACCAGAGTTTACTAATGTTCTCTAACATAAAGGTACTCCCCTACTTGCAGAGGAGTATTAAGGATTAAAGGATATTAATCATACTAATCATGCTGGTGCTCTTAAGTGCTGGGAAAGCTGTAAGCAGGGTTCTGCTGCTGCTAGGAGTGATGTTCACAGGCAGTGCAAGCAGACAGAAAGTAGAGAGGAGGAGCAGGTTCCTTCTCCCTGGCCCAGTTCTGCACTGTAACAGCCCTTACTAGCAGACCCAAACAGCCAACAGCCGTGTTGTTTGTATACTTCCAGGTTTAGGCACAGTATGGAAGGGTCAATTTGGAGCCAGGGTAGGTAACAGATGTAAGTGCTTGTAGTTCTACTCCAAGTGCACAGAGTAGAGTTTATAGTCAGCTTCCTGTGAGCTTTAATAAGTGATTTCATCATGTCCCTTAATAGTTTTTTTGAGATGACTGATAGCATCAAGGTAGAATTACATCAAACATTACACCTCAGCTGTAACCTGCCAACTGCACTTTTACATCTTTATTGGTTTTGAACATGAGTTTTGGAGTACCAAAAGTGACAAGTGCAGTTCAGTATGCAGAAAAAGAAAAAGCAGTAAAAACTGCACTAGCAACTTCTATTCACTGCCATGACTTTCTATCCTTTTAATAAACAGACTCTAATTCTGTTAATGAGGTAAAGTACCCAGTTTCAGGAGATGAATCATGACTGCTTTAAGCCAGTCAACACAATCTCATTCTTATTTGCCTGATATACACTATCCCAGAGTGTCCTACAGTGGGGACGGCTATCTGTTACCCCGTTCTATCTTGAGAGAGAAAATGAGAAGCCTGCTGGTGAGGTTTTTGGCAAAGTTTTTAACTGTAAAAGAACTGGACATATGAAGGGAAGTGCATTCTCTGCCTTTCACCTTTTATTCTCAGGAAGCAGGCCTGAGAATGTAATTCCTGGGACTGAAGCAGCCATCTTGCAACTATGAGGTCATAAGCATGAAGACAGGCACACACACGCGCACACACATGCATGCACGCATGCATACACACACACACACACACACACACACACACACACTAAGGAATGCAGAGTCACTAAGCCAAGTCAGGAATGTCTTTCTGAAGACTTGCTGCTACAGTGTGTTATGATGATGTCATTTTCCAAAAAAATAAATTGGAATATGGTACCTAATTATTATTGCTGATTTATGCTGTGTTAGTATTTTTTAAACAATATAAAAATAAACACCATTTTGTGCATATTTGTTTCTTGTCTTGTTTCTTGCTATTTTCTGTGTGCCCAGCTCTTTTGATGATGTTATAATGTCCAGCTTCCCACATCCATTCTTTAGAGCCTATTAATAATGTGGTGAAATGTTCCAAGTATAACAGGGTCAAATCCTATTGGCTACTACTGATTAAAAAATTATAACCAAGCCCGAGACACAGTTTTGTCAGCTATAAGGAACTCTTAAGTGATTCTTAATATATTCTGTTTAGTGACTTTTCAATATAAAAATAGAGGGTTTTAAAATACAAGGGTACTTGCTAAAGGAAAAATGAATAAAAATCCAGTAAGTTATAGTCTGAATAATAATTATTAAGCTGCTGAAAAACCACAAACCACTACT